ATGATCTCTGTCTGTCCCCAAAACAATTTTTTATCTTAATCTGGTGCTCTTGAAGCCTGTGAGGCTGACGTGATAACTCCCCCCTCAGAAGAAATGTGGAATGCTGCCGTCGCTATGGAAACTCTTTCTCCCTATCCCAGCCTGGGCGGGACTGTGACCGGTGAAGGCCGTGGAACCATATCTAGGAGTCACTGTGCCCTCTAACCCATTATCTCCCTCCCCAGTACACAGTGGCAGAGCTTGATATGTGCAACATGTGCGGCCGAACAGGGCGGCAGTCTGTAGGGGGCGGCATTTAATTTCTTTTTTTTTTTTTTTTTTTTAATTTTTTTTCTTCCATCAACCGATACATCAACAAAACATAGAAATCACATGTTCTTCATAATAATAATAGTGATTAGTGATGATAATAATAATATTTCTGTAATAAAAGCACAACAAAGTCATTGTTTGCGTTTATATTGGGATTTTATTGCGCCCCCTTGTGTCCGCCGCGCCTCTGTAGTGCGCTCTATAGCGCCCTTTATCAGGTGGGGGGGCGGAGGGATCTCGGAGAGTGATGATGGAGGGATACAGGTACCGTTTCACATATCACCTCTCACAAACATAATGGAGAAGAAGCGGTCGAAGCCATCTGGTGCCCAATTTCGGAAAAAAAGAAAAGAAGAGGAGGAGAAACGAGGAAAAGATGCAGGTATGCATCTCTTTATTATTTAGTTGTTATTTTTCCCGCCTGTCCCCCAACTTATTGATTACCTAACCTCTCTAATCTGAACGTTTTGCATGGTGCTATGATGATCCCTTCAAATGTCTTTTGCTAGCTTCTTATGTTGCATGCATTTAGAACTACTTCCAACCGCTAGCTTTTTCTTTGTCACATGAGCTTTTATGAAAAGCTAAGAGTGGAAAACCGAAAGGCTGATAACCAAACGCAATCAAATTAAAATTAGTCTTTGAGTATTTTGCTGAAATACATTGACGGCGGGCAGCAGGTCTCGCGCCGGCGCCATTCGCCTTTCTATTTGGACTCGGGAAATGAGCTACGTATTCATGGACATAATTTTCACTTTAGAAGTGGGGGGGACACGGAGTGGGGAGGGGGGAGGGGGGTGAATCTTTACAGTATGCTCTAATGGGAAACAGGCTTCAACACAAACGGTTGTTTTCTGCTTGGTCCTAGAGCGCAACTAGTGTCAATTTAATATAGTGTAATATTGTTTTTGGATGGTAAAAAGTGCAGCGGTCAAACCTTGACTTTGGAAAAAGTGGGGGGGGACATGTCCCCCCCGTCCCCCCCAAAATTACGTCCATGTACGTATTATTTACCCCACGAAAAACGGAGCGGCAGCGGGCCGCTGGAGGTGCCCTGCTAGTAAGATCCCGTTTAAACTGTAAACTGCCATAACATAAAAACTATAATAGCTAGAGCGGTCTTTTTTTAGCTGAAAGTTGAGACTCTCGCCTTTCAGCACTGTACAAGTCGATGATGTCATCGTGTTGCGTTAAGTGTGCTGCACAGCACACCGCGGCTATGTTAACTCACAGTGACCAAGAAGCAGTGTGGGAGAGTTAAAGAATTTAACCAGTTAAAATGGATTCATGGATATTTAATCAATAGTTGTGGCTCCTCTTGTCCTTTAGTTTTTTGTGTGCCGGAGACATTTGCTGAATAAGGAAATAAAAACTTAAAATGACAAAAAAAATTAGGGAAAAAAACTTGTTTTGTATTTTATCAATTATTAATGATTAATAGATTGTTGGTGTTTTAACTTTTGGTAAAGGAAAACACACAATTTCCAGGCAGCCCCAGTCTGGAGAAGTGATGGTGACATCAGCCGTTAAAAATAAATAATACTCTGAGGTTTTTATTAATAATTTCTACTTTTACTTGAGTATTTCTCTAACAGCAGTACTTTTAATTGTAAATGAGTAATATTTTAGCAGTGTAACAGTACTTGTACTTGAGTACAGATTTTCAGAATTCTTTCCACCACTGCTGAAAACTGTAAATGCTCATTGTAACATGTTAATTAAAATGCTAAAGCAACAGACGTGACATGAAGATTGTATTGTTTGTTTTATGCAACATCAGGAGCCCTACGCAGATATTTTGGGATGACATCAGCTGCCACTGAGGAACAGCCAACTACCTCCACTGCTCATAGGCCAGTATTTGAACTCGAGGAGGGAGAGTCTGCTGGCACCACATCTCCCCAGGAAGATACTTTAGGTGGGTTTTGCACACGTGTGTGTGTATGTCCAGCAAACATTTAGCTATAGACATTTAAATAGTATTTTCACAGAATATGGGAATTGTTCCATATAGCAATGTGGTGAGTTATGCTTCCATTTTCTGTCAATAGAGAGACCTACCAGTATATGTGAACTTGATGAGGGACAGCCAGCTGCCACGTCTCCCCAACAAGATACGTCAGGTAAGTTTTGCACAAGTGTGTGTGTGTGTGTCCTGCAAACATTAGAGAAATTTGAATGTCACATATTGCATTTGAATAGAATATGTGAAATGGTCCACATAGCAATGTGTTGAGTTACGCTTCTGTTTTCTGTCAATAGAGAAGCCTGAACGATCAACCAATGAGTCCCACTGAAGGTGATGATGAGCCTCTTTCTTCAGACCCAGCCAAGTGGTCCTCACCAATTACCGACAGCATACGCACAGAGCTAGTTCGAAGAGAACCTACCAAGGTGCCAACTACTTTCATATTTCCCAGGAATGAAGGCGATGGCAGGTGTTGTCATCATCACTATTTCAGTAGAACTTTGACAAGTGGTGAGAAGGTGGCCAGGAGCTGGATGTTGTATTCAGTTAGCAAACTTTGTTATATATAATACACTCCACGCAATTTGAAACAAAGTTGTAGGTGTAATTTTTTTTCTTGTGTGTGTGTGTGTGTGTGTGGGGGGGGGGGGGGGTTACGGGGGATCTCGCACAGGGCGCCATTTAGGCCAGCTCCGCCTCTGCCTGTCCAAACGGAGGTGATGAGCGCTGCCCCATGCGGCTGCACGCACTGAAGTGAGGAGAGTCCCAACCCTACCTCCCCACCTAGTGGACACTTATGTTGTGTAATGTCTGAAGTTTGTTGCATATCTGTCTGAGGTTTTTTGCATAGCAAAGCTACCCTCCCTGTTGAGGGTAACTCTGAAGTGCCTTTTCTTCCCCTCCCCCTGACTCTATCCTCATATAAACCCTCTTGATCTATAACAGCAGCGCGACTCGGGTTGCGAATGACCACAGTCACCAATTCTTGTCATGTGTCTATGTATGTATGTCTGACCTCAGAATTGTGTGTACTGAAACTCTAATTTCCCTCTGAGATTAAAAAAGTATCTTTGAATTTGAATTGAATAACACCTTATAGATCATTTTGGGGGTGCAGGACAGTAGTCAGTCAGCTGGTCTTAGGGAACGCACCGGTACATGTGGTGTAAGGAGTTCTGACAGATACAGGGGTGCTAGGCCATGTAACCCTAACCCCGGCTTTCCACAGGAGCCGTCAGCAGCACGTTACTGCAGCAGCACGTCATAGCTGCTGATGGGAACCGCTGTGGTCAACAGAACCTTTTCCACTGGAGCCGTCGGCAGCCGTCAGCAGCGCGAGTCGGCTGCGTCTCAGGAGCAGCATGTTGCGGCCTTCACGCGCCGGTTCTATTTTCTACGCGCGACGCCTCTGAAACGGGTCAAGTTCGACATTTTTGGGGAAGGAAAGACAGGAAATCGGATGCGGAAATGGAGAGAAGCTACCGAGATTTTCAGAATAAAGAACGTACTGCCTTCCGGTTGCTTTACTTTTAAAAAAGGTTACTAACTGTGCGTCCCCGTGAGAAGTTATCACCTAGCTAGCGGTCTCCTTTGTTTTTCAGGTCTGTATTGGCGATTATAAAACAGACAGAACATAAAACACAAACCATGTTGTAATTTTCTCCTGCTTGTTGTTGTGTTTACTGACGAAGTCACTCGTGTGACTTCGTGCTCGGTCGGTGACAGCTGCTCCCCTGCTGCTTCATGTCTCGTGGGAAGGGCCAAGCAGCAGCTTACGCGAGCAAGACGTGCTGCTGCAGTAACGTGCTGCTGACGGCTCCCGTGGAAACCCGGGGTAAGTCACAGGCAGCCATGACGGCGTCACTAATGGTGTTTTATTCTAATAACAAAGAGAGAAGTCTATTGAAATACTTTCTTCAGGTTTCCACGACTGGGGGGGGGGGGGGGGGGGGGGGGGGGGGGAGTGCCAGGATGCTGCGTAAGATTACGCATGGATGTTTGTTCAGTCATTAAGTATTAAGAAGGATAATTTGTGTATTGAGAGGGAATACCATTGTGACAATAACAAACCCCGTTAAGACCTTTTAAAATCTTAAAACATTACAGCTGCAACATCACCGCTACTGGCTGCAGTTCATGATCAGCAGCTAAAAATGTATTTATTAATTTGGTTTAACGTGTAAATCAAATCAAAACTCTCAACAAAGTTGATGATTATTTATAGACACAAACCATCCTCCTCTCCACGCAGGAAGACTTCAACTACTCTGTCATAAAGCTTTTCAGTTCCATCAGTAAGTCCTTTTCTTTGGCCATTTTAATATTTCCCATCTTTATCCTATTGTCTGGAGCAACTACTCTTCTAGATAAAATTTCCTTTGGGATTATTAAAGTATTCTGATTCTGATGGAGGTCATGGCTGGGTCGCCTCTGGCTGAAATACAAACTAGCGACAGGGTTGGACGGACTCTCGTAAAAACGATCAGCTTCACTGAAAAAGTCCCGTCTTGATAACAGAACTGAAGTAATCCCTGAGACCAAATCAGTTTCTTCTTCTCCGTTAGCCATACAGCTAGTCTGCTATCTGTTGACTAGTGATGGTGATGTTGGTGAATGGCTGACGAAGTTTTACTCACGATACACTTGGGAGACGGTTTTGGAGATCCACTTGTAAACTAGCAGGTCATAAAGCTACATGTGAGAGTAAAAATAAAACCAGTCAAGCAGCTCAACATTTTATTCAGTATTTTACAACCACTACATCACTAAAGTCAGTCAGCCTTGTAACATTTTTAGCAGCCATGGCTCAATCCTGACTGGGACAGCCTAGACACATCTGCAGGAGAGGAATTACTAAGAATGGAGCTCATTCTCCTCTGAACACAAGTTACGGAAGTTATTGTCTTCTCCAGCAACCATTGTTTGAGTTAGAGGCGCCGTTCCCTCTCGTCCCTCCCAGGCCCAGTCTCTAAATTATTAATCAAATCTTACGTGCCAAACGGTATCTTTTAATTTAAACAACTTCCACTTAAAACATTTTGGATCGTTTGAAGTGGGTTTTTGGATAGAGGTCTTACCTGTTGTAGATAGCAACATAAGTTTGGATAAAACAAACATTCTCACCGAATTCATGATGGAACATCTAGCTTGAGCTGGGTTAAGTCCAAAAAGGAATACTGGCATCTGAATACAGCTTGGAGTTGTACAAATTAACTTCTCCAAACTAAGGTCACTCAAAGTGCTACCTACAATAGATGAAGTGTTTATTGTTCAAGAATTTTCCATAGAAAACCACTTCAGAAGCTCTGCAGCGTTATCTTAACATAACCATATCTGATTATCAGTCCAACAGCAAGGCAGGATAGTGCTCTGAATACACTGAGCTTCATGATCCACATGTTTCAGACAGTTACACACTCACTGTACAGTATGGGGTCTATGTGCCTCTTTAAATGCAAATAAAACAGATAAAATTTTCTTCAACTGATTTGAGGAACGACACATCATTGTCCAGTTTTCATCAGCCTACTACAGAAAACAGTCCTCTTCAAGAACCCTTTCCACCGCAATCGTTTCCCATCTAGGCTGAACGGGTACATCAACATAACATAACACTACAAACACCTAAAACAGCCCTCAGGATTGGCTGGTTTGTCCTGATTATGGGTTATGTGGCATTACCTCTGGAGATATGGCACTAAGTTCTACTAGGATGCATCAATTTACAGTGAAAATTTCCATTTATGCGTATTAAAAAATAGCAGTCGTAACAGCAGATATGGAACTGTAACTCTTTGGTTAACCCTGATATATCATACTGACGTACATATATATCAATGTTTATTAACAGTAGTACATTCTTGTTCCTCAAACCCCAGATCACTTCATTACAGGCCTCAGAGAGAGAGGGAGGGATGAACGGTTCTACAAAAATACTATATGTACTTCAGAACCAATGTAAGAAAATGTCAATGAAATTTCATTCCCAGTCAAAAGTTTAGAAAAATACAACCACACAGGAAACTCAGATATGTGCATAGGATTTTTTTCAGTGAACATCAACTACAAAAATACTTCGATTAAAAGCACAAGTAAATAAGCATCAGCAAAGCGACCAAACCAACAGGAAACAATCAGCTCAAAGATTCAAGTGGTCAGAAATTAGATCAGAAAAACCAGTTCTTCTTTGGGTCTATCTGACCACAGTCTGCGGTTCTGCGTCCGTGGAAGGGGTCCTCTGCTGAGCCGTGATGGCTTCACGAACACACCGTGACCTGGGGGGCAGCGGAAGTACACTCTTCCCTGGACAGTCCCATTGTGCTTACCTAAAAGGGACAAGTAAAAGACATTTGTTTTGTTTTCCTGTCATTTATAGTCTCATTTGTAACATATAAAATATATCCAGATTGCAAAACTGTAAAACCCACTCTGTTTGTAGTTTTATATCGTCCACCAGCCCTTACTCAGAGTTTTTGGATCAGATCTCTGATTTTTTTATCTGATTTGGTGCTAAATACTGATAAGGTCATTGTAGTGGGGGATTTCAACATTCATGTGGACATCGAAAATGATTGCCTCAATGTAGCCTTTAGTAATATCTTAGACCTCAATTGGTTTACTCAAAGAATACATAGCTCCACCCACTCCTGCCATCATTAACATTGACCTTGTGCTGACTTATGGCATAGAGTGTGAGGAAATAACAATCTTTCCACATAATCCAGTCCTCTCGGACCACTTTCTGATAACCTTTGAGTTTTTTATAACTGAGTTCTCGAGGACATGAAAGTAAATTTCACTATAGTCGGTCTCTATCTGACAACGCTGTTGCATCTTTTAAATCAACTGTTCCATCTTTACTGTCCTCAGCATCTCAGAGGAACGTAGCAGAGGGCAATATTTTCAGTTCTAGCCCCTCACAAATTGATGCCTTAGTTCATCATGTTAATTC